GACAGAGTCAGCAGGACAGCTGTGCTTCAAGCCCAGGTCTCTGAGCAAAGCCCGGCCTCAGGCCATGGATGACCAGGATGCAGGACAGTTTACCAAAGACCCCACCTACCCTCAGATGGCTCCCTGCCTCCGGGGGCTTCAACACCCTCTGTTTTCTTCCTGACCCTTGTGGAGCTAAGCTTGAACCCTCCTTGACCTAGTATCTGCCCCAGGGGTCTCCCACAACTGGCGGGGTGCAGACCCCCAGCGAGAGAGCTCCTGGGTGCTCCCAGCCCGGGGCTCCTCCAGTCCCTCTCCAGAAGGGGCTCCTGCTTCAGGGTCCCCCAGGGGAGAAGGTGCAAATGACTGGGACCAAACTTCTCCCATTTTATAGTTGGGAAAGATGCTCCGAGCTCCTGCGAGCCCCCACGGCAAGTCCTGCCTCGGCTTCTTTGTGGTGTCTTGACTGAGTCCTGGTATTTGGAACTGCTGGGCACCCCCCCACCCCACCCCCATCCCCAGCCTGTCTTTTGACTGCAGCAGTGAGTCAGTCATCAAAGCCCCTGCTCATTACTTAAAATGCAAATAATGATCCTGACCTCCTCCCTCGGGAAAGCTCCTAAGAAGCTTTTGAAAGCTTTTTTACTGCTGGGCTGGGGAGAGGGAGGGAGGGTCACCTGGGAACTGTCATTCAGGGCTCAGGCTCAGACCTGAGCTTCTCTGCAGCTCCCCAGACCGGGTTTCTCCAGGGGAGGCTCCCTCCAGCCCCCACAGCACCAGCACACACACACGCACACACACACACACACACACACACACACACACACACACACACACACACACACACACGCCCCTTCCCTGCACATTCAGAGTCCTTCCAAGGTGGCTTCTCTCCCCTTTCCAGGCAGGGAAAGGGAGAATGAGTCTCCCCAGGGAGACTCTTGGCTTTCCCTCTACCCAGAAGGGATCCCACAGGGCCCTCCGTGGCTCCTTGCCAGGTCTTTCCCCAACACCTACGAGCTTTCCCAGAGTCTCAGAGCCCACGGCAGCTCGGTCTGAGGAGAAGGAAGGTGCGACCAGCCCCGCGCACGCCTGTCCCTCCCCTCCACACTCACCCACCAGGAAGGGCCAGGACACTAAATCACAGTTCCCTTGGTCTCCTCACTGCCACCCAGACATGCTGATTCGAAGAGCCCACCCCGGCCGGCCCCCCTCCTGGAACCTCCCTTTTCCATGCAGTTTCCCATCATCCTGTGGGCCAGGAGCTCCTTCTCCTTTGGAGAAAATTCTCCATCCTGGCAGCCGGCTTTCCAGCTGAAAACCCGCTTTCCAGAGCAGTTTGGTGAAGAGACCTCACTAGGCTGCATCGAGAGCCCAGCTCTGGGGGTGGAAGATGAGGGGTACCCCAGGAGACCAGCAAGGGCTTGGCCACACCATGCACCATGCACCAGGGGCCCCTCAAGATGACAACAGGACATTTCTCCGTCCTTCCTCCTGAGGGTATCGAACTGGGAGGGCCGGCTCGTGGGGTCTGTGCCCAAGAGCAGAGGGTTCACCCCTTTCCTCCGCCGTCTCCCTGGGTAATAGGGGGAAGGCCTTAGGGTGGGGGCGCTATGGGAGAGCATGTGCCTTCCCTGTGCCAGACCCGGCTTTGATCTCCAGCCTCAAACGAAGCCAGCCCGGGAGACACTGGAAGGGCCCCAGAGAGTTGTCCTGGAAAGCAGGAGCGGGGGTTGCTGGCTCCGCCGAAGGGCTCTAGATTTGAGGTTCAGGCTGAGAAGCATCCCAGCCCCATCGTCATGGGAAAGAGTGTCAGAGCACTGCATAGCCGCACTTTTTTCCAGGAAGCCCTCCTTTGGGGCAGGAAGGAGAATAAGAGGAGGCCTTGCTTTCTCTGCGTGGGAAGATCTTTACCCATTCCATTTGTGTTTTGGGGAGAAGGAACCGCAGTGGACTACTCGCCTCCACATTAACCCTCTTAGCGACCTAGAGAATCAGATTGTAAATCTCGTTTTACAGAAGGGAAAAATAAGGTGTGGGGGCTTCAGTGACTCTCCTCGAATCACACAGATGGTGGAGGCAAGATTTATATCCAGGTTTCTATGGATGGCATTGCCTGGTCTAACCCTCAAAGGCTGAACCTGGGGCTGGAGCGATAGCACAGTGGGTAGGGCGTTTGCCTTGCACGTGGCTGACCCGAGTTCGATTCCCAGCATCCCATATGGTCCCCCGAGCACCCAGGAGTAATTCCTGAGTGCAGAGCCAGGAGTAACCCTAGCTGTGCGTCGCCGGGTGTCACAAAAAAAAAAAAAGGCTGAACCCACTGGTTTTGTATGAGGCCACATATGCTGGGGCACTGTACAAGTATTCTGATGGCGAGAGAAAGACATCTAGGGGAGAGGAACGAGGAATTGACAAATGAGAACGTGCTGGAGCAATAGTACAGGGCTTAAGACACTTGCCGTGCACACAACTGGCCCATATTTTACCCCTGGTACAGCTTGGAGTCCTTTGAGAACCACCAGGGCACCAAGCTAGGAGTCAGCCCTGAGTGCTGCTAGGTGTAGCCCAAAATTGAAAGAGGAGGAGGAGGAGGAGGTGGTAGAAGAGGAGGAGGGAAGTAGAAGAAGAGAAGGCTCTGTGACCCACGACCATTCAAACAAAAAGGAAGGAAGCAAAACAGCTCGCAAGCTGAAGTCTATGCATCGGAATGATCTGACTGCTGGAGGACGAAGCGTGGAGTGGAGCGAAAGCCAGTGTGAACGTGCCTGACTGATTTATTTCTTGTTGTGTTTTGTGGACACATCTGGAGGTGCTCGGGGCTTACTCCTGGCAGTGCAGTTACTCAAAGCCCTAATAAACAGAGCCCGAGCTCGCTGGAGCACTGACTGCAGGTCAGGCACGTTGCAGCACTTGATTCCACACTAGCTACTACGATTTCCTTCTTGGTAAATGAGAGGAAACAGATGCCCAAAGGGACTCTAGGACGTGCCCACAGTCATGTCCACAGTAAATAGCAGTGCTGAGCCAGGCAGACATAGCAGTGTCCTGCACCGTGCTCATGGTTCCGGGACCTGCCCCAAGCTCGGTCCTGACTGAATGAGGCCGTAAACACAGCACGGCCCAGAGGCACTGGCACTAACTGAGCACTTACTTTGTGCCAGGCACCACTGCAAGTGCTGTAGACAGACTTGCTCCTGGAATCTTCACAACCCTGGGAGGTGGGGTGACCCCCCCTTTTAAATGTTTGCATTTGGGAGCTGGAACGATAGTACAGCGGGTAGGGCATTTGCATTGCATGCGGCCGACCCAGGTTCGATTCCCAGCATCCTATATGGTCCTCCGAGCACCGCCAGGGGTAATTCCTGAGTGCAGAGCCAGGAGTAACCCCTGAGCACTGCCAGGTGTGACCCAAAAAAGCAAGAACAAATAAAATAAAATGTTTTCATTTACTCTATAAATGCAACTTGAAAACTAGACACTTTTTCCACTTCTTGTTTTTATGAAATTAAGGTTAGGTACAACTCCATATACCAACTTTTTCCTTTGAAAGCTTTTCATTTATATTTTCCCCATTTTGACAGGTGAAATGCAGGAAGACTGTACAGGTTAAAAAAAAAAGTAGGGGCCGGAGAGATAGCACAGCAGGTAGGGCGTTTGCCTTGCACGCGGCCGACCCAGGTTCGATTCCCAGCATCCCATATGGTCCCCTGAGCACCTCCAGGAGTAATTCCTGAGTGCATGAGCCAGGAGTAACCCCTGTGCATCGCCGGGTGTGACCCAAAAAGCAAAAAAAAAAAAAGTCAAGAGAAGCTCAGGTGAGTCACCCCAGGCTCCTTGAAAGGTGCTGCCCTGGCTGGCTTGGGCCTCTTACCTACGACCTCAGCCAGGCCTGGGGGTCTGGACGCGTGTGAGGGAAGTGGGGTGGGACACCAGCCCCCCGCCCAGTGCAGGGTTAGAAACAAGAACTTGTGTCCTTCCAGACAGTCACTGGAGGGGGGAGAGAGACAGGAGAAGCCTGCTGAGGGATGCCCCTGGGGGGTCTCCAGAGCAGAAGCGGGGAGGGGGGCGGCAGTGGGAAGGAGCTGTGCGCCGCTGTGGAGCACATCTGGTGGTGCTCAGGGATCACTCCTGGGTCTGTACTCAGGGATCCTTCCATGGGTGGGGGGGGGGCGTCAGGGTACCCTATGGGACGCTAGGGATCCCACCTGGCCTGCCACATGCGAGGCCAAGCCCCTCGCGGCTGTGGTACGGTTCTGGCCCCCTCTCCCGCTCACCCCTCCAAACCTCACCAATGCAGAAAGGGCATCTCTGGGCCGGTGCAAGAGTCCCCGGGAAAAACACCGAGCTGCGGGTCTGGAGCGGTAGCACAGCGGGGAGGGCGTTTGCCTTGCACGGGGCGACCCGGGTTCGATTCCCAGCATCCCATATGGTCCCCTGAGCAACGCGGGGAGTAATTCCTGAGCGCAGAGCCAGGAGTAACCCCTGAGCATCGCCGGGTGTGCCCCCCCAAAACAAAACACAACACACACACACACACACACACAAAACAGGGGGCAGCACCCGGCGGGCTCACTTCACTGCAGAGCCTGCGATGGTCCCTCCGACACGCGGTCCCCGGCTCTGCCCGCAGACAGAGCGCAGGGCGCAGGGCGCATGGCACGCCCCCTGCCCCCTTGGGCGCCCGGGGACTCCCCACGCGCCCTCCCCTGCTCTGCGGGGACCCACACTCCGGGGAGGGGCTGGAGCGGGGCGAGGACAAAGCCCCCGGCCGAGGCGGGCGCGGCGGGCAGGGGGCGCTGCGCCGGGCACGGGCGTGCCGGGTACCGTGACGATGCGCGCGCGGCCCCCTCCCTGCCCCGGCGGGCAGGAGTTTCGCGGGCCAGCGGCGGGCAGCGCAGATTCCGGGCTCCCGGGGCGCGACACCCCGGGAGGCTGGAGCTGGGGCGCGCGGACTCCGCGGACTCCCGAGCACCTGCCCCAGAGCTCGCTCGGCGCGCGCGGACCCGGGCGCGGACAGCATGGACGGTGAGTGGCCGCGGGCCGGGGCCGGGGGCCGGGGTGGGTGGTCGTGAGCGCGGGACCGGACCCAGGAGCCGCCGCCGCCGCCGGGCCAGGAGCAGGAGCAGGGAGGGGGTCACCCATGGTTAAGGCTGGACACTGAGTGCGTGCGCGCGCGCGCGCGTGTGTGTGTGTGTGTGTGGAGAGAGAGAGACTGAGTGAGGAAGGGAGAAGAAAAACGCCTCTTAGGGCGTTTGTGCGTGAGTCAGAGAGACAGACAGAGACCCAGAGCCAGGCCAGAGGCTGGTGCCTGATGCCCTTCTGCCCTGGGCATCGCCAGCCCCCTTCCAGCCAGGCCAGCGCAGAGGAGCCTTTGAGTGAGGACAGCTTGACCATTAGTTTCAGATGTGGTGTGGCTTGCTCGCCTGCCTGCAGCTAGAGTGGGGGGCCAACGGCATTCTGGACACACTTCCCTGACCGCCAGACCTTCTCTCCCCGGGGGCAGTAAAGGAAGCTTAGACCAGACTGCCTGGAGAGGAGAGTGGGCCTGGGGGGAAGGTGAGGCTGGGTCCAGCCTCCGCGCTGAATGGGGGCGTGGGTCCCCTTGGGCATCCCGTGCAAAGAAGGAGAATCACGTTTCAGCAAGGATGCTGGAAGGCTGGCTGGCTGGTCCCCCAGCTTCTGGGCATCTTTGGAAACAGCACCGAAATCTTTCTGTGCCACCAGGTATTCATCTGTTGAATGGAGATCTTAGCACTGAGCTGGCTTTGCAGGGTGACTAAGACGCGAAGAGACAGCTGCTGCTGACGGAGTGACCCCCCCACCCCACCCCCAACACACACAAACACACCCGAAATTCCTGTTTGTAAGCATTTCTGGCCAGGAGGGAAAAGAAGTTTTCAAGTATCTCTTCGGAGGCCATGCATGTAGCTTTTTAAGGATTCCAGCAGGTGCGACAGGGGGGCATCTCCCCTAATGACGCTGGAAGCCGCAGATCTGTCAGCGAGGTGGTGTTAGGAGAGCCCTCACCCCCGGCAGGCTCCAGCCAACGGAAGCCGGGGGAATTGGCTGTGATAGCTGGGAAAGCAAAGTGGAGGTCAAGGATGAGGAGAAGGAATCTGCCCAGGACGAGGGGCGTGTGCAGGGGGTGGGCTGGCTAAGCCTCACAGCGATTTTGCTTCCAATGGTAGACTCGACTGCAAAGAGGAAATTGAAACCCAGGATTGTGACAGGAAGGAGGCATTGAGCCATCTACAATGAGCCTAGCCCTTCACATCAGACAAATGTCATCCAGGGTGCTGGAGGCACTTGCTGATGTGATTATTGCCTTAGCAGAAAGTAAAGAGAATGAAACGAGTGCCAGCACTCGGGAGCTGTGTCAAGGTCTGATTTTTCAAAAGGGAAAGAAAGATTAAGCAAAAACAAAACCCTCTAAATTGCGAAGATTAATAGTGAACTCTATTAATATCCTGGATAAATTATTCAACACTCAGTGAATACTTAGGAGACAATGGAGCAATCACACGTCTCGGAAATTGTTTCAAGGAGGCCATTCCGCATCCTGGCAAAAATGGGGGCATGGGTATTTCGCATCCCACCTTTCATCTCTCGCACTGCAAGGTGAAAAACCCCGGGAGCTGGCTGGAAACCCAGCAAACTGAGCACAGCCTGCATCCGTGTACCAGGAACACACTGAAAAAAATCATTCAGGGTTTGATGGACTGACATGAAATTGTGTTCACTGCCTATTTTGACTCATTAAAAAAAAGTAGCTAGTCTGAAAACACATATATTATGATATCCTTGGTGCCAAATTGCACAGACTGAAGATGATTAGATCTATGTGTAAAATATATTCAAAGAGGGCTGGAGCGATATCACAGCGGGTAGGGCATTTGCCTTGCACGTGACCGACCCGGGTTCGATTCCCAGCATCCCATATGGTCCCCCGAGCGCTGCCAGGAGTAATTCCTGAGTGCAGAGCCAGGAGGAACCCCTGTGCATCTCCGGGTGTGACCCCAAAAGCCCTTATGTATGTATATATATTCAAAGAGATTATCCCTGGGGCTGAAGAGATTGCACAGTGGGTAGGGCACTTGCCTTGCACACCGCAGAACGGGGTTCAACCCTTGGCATCCCGTATGGTATCCCGAGCCCACCAGGAGTGATTCCCAAGTGCAGAGCCAGGAGTAAGCCGTGAACATCACTGGATGTGACCCAGAAACAGAGAGAGGGAGAGAGAGAGAGAGAAAGAGAGAGAGAGAGAATGAATGAATGAATGAATGAATGAATGGGGAGTTCCTGCTCTGCATTTCTGGGGTGCGTGTGTATGTGTGAGAGAGACAGAGTGAGAGAGAGAGAGAGAGAGAGATGTTTCCTGATTTCTTTGCTTCTGAAAGAAAAGACGAAGACATGGGAAAGGGGGTTTGCTTGGCAAGTGACAACTGGAGACAGGTGCAGGGAGAGAAATGGGAAGAAAGGCAAAGGAATGGGGCATGACTGAGTGGACCAAACTGTGGGCGACTGGGTTCTTGCCCCTGGAGGGTCCTCGGAGAACAGCCCCCAGCGTCCCCAAGGTCTGCCCTCCAGCTGCCGTTGCCTCTCCCTGATGGGTTCAGGTTGACCACACTCTGGATTGTTCTTGCTTGTGGTTTCAAGGAAAGCAAAGCAGGGAAGGGGGTAGACCTTGACGGGGCTCTTAGTGCAAGAACTGTCCTCTGTAGCCAAAAGAAGGACCAGGAGGAGGGTGGGCTCTGCGGCAGAGGGTGGGCCATGCATGTGAGTCCTGGCTTCCATCCCCAGCACCTCACAAGAAATTTTACGAAGGAGGGCCAGAGAGATAGTACAGCGGGTAGGGCATTTGCCTTGCACACAGCCGATCCGGGTTCGATCCCCGGCATCCCATGTTGTTCCCTGAGGAACTGGTGCGGACAGCACCAGGAGTGATTCCTGAGTGCAGAGCCAGGAGTAGCCTCTGAGCATCACCGGGTGTGATCCAAAACGCCAAGAAAAAAAAAAAAAAGAAATTTCACAAAGGAAACTCCCAAAGAAGCATCAGTTTACAGGGAGATTCTCTGGGTGTGATGGTTCCTCTGCTTCTGCCAGCTCAGAACTGTTTTATAATAAGAACAATTTTATAAAAAAAGAAAAAAGAGGGGCTGGAGCAATAGCACAGCGGGTAGGGCGTTTGCCTTGCACGTGACCGACCCGGGTTCGATTCCCAGCATCCCATATGGTCCCCTGAGCACTGCCAGGAGTAATTCCTGAGTGCAGAGCCAGGAGGAACCCCTGTGCATGGCCAGGTGTGACCCAAAAAGCAAAAAAAAAAAAAACAAACAAACAAACAAAAAAAAGGACCTGGAATGATAGTACGGGGGGGAGTCTTGCTTGCACCTGACTGACCTGGGTTCGATCCCTGGAACCCCATATGGTCCCCTGAACCCCACCAGGAGCAATCCCTGAGCACAGAGCCAGGAGTAAGTCCCGGGGGTTTGCATTCCCCCCACCCGCCAAAAAAAGCCAAGGTAGATTTCCATAAGGAAGACACAAATGTGGTACCCTTGAGGATCCTGTCGACCAGAAGAGGCTAGCCCTGCCCACGGTCCTCTTTGAGACTGTTTCTGAGGAGGAGAGCAGCGAGTTATGAGCTTCTGACGAACCAGGCTAAGTTGGCCCAAGAAACCCTGTGACCCGGTGGAGAGGCGGGCGGGGCGGGAGGCTGACAGCTGACTTCTTTACAGACTTGAGTGCTGTCCAGAGGTCCTTAGAACCGACCTTGATGTGGTGTCAAATAATTTAGAGGGAAGATAAAAGGCTTTTCAAATGGTGGGAAAGAGCCGTGACACCGTGACACCCGAACAACCGGAGAGACGGCGCGAAGAGGCTGGACACGTGCTTGGCCAGCGGGGGCCTGGTCGCCTCTCTGGCACCCCGCATCCTCCCAAGTACTGCTGGGAGTGACCCTCGAGCAGCACCGGGTGCGGCTCAAAAGAAAAGATTTCAGGCTATCTCGGTCCTACTGGATCCCAACCAAGAAAATGAAACGTAAAACCCTGCACTTAGGTTTTAAATCATTAAAAAATCGACTCCCTGTGTTTAAAGTGAAGACAATCTGTCACTCTGACTCGCGCTGTGATTGTTTTCAGTTTTGGGGATGCACCCGGTCGGACTCAGGGCTTACTCCTGGCTCTGTGCTCAGGGATCACTCCGGGGTGCTGGGGTGTGAAAAACGACGTATGCTGAAGGTTGTGTGTTCGCGGGCTCTCTGGACGGCTCTATCTCACCGCCGCGTTCGGTGCCCTAGAGCCGCTGTGTGTGGCCTGGGTCGGGATGGCTGTTGACCAAGGGCAGACTGCACCGGGGGACATCGTATGTGATGCAGGGGATAGGACCAGGGTTAGCTGCAAGCAAGGCAAGCACCACACCTGCTGTACTATCTGGCAGGCTTGGGATGTACCATGCGAGATGCTGAGGACCAAACCCAGGTGAGCTGTGTGCAAGACAAGCGCCCTCCCGGTGATGCTATACCTCTCCAGCCCTCGAGAAGACTTTCTGACTACCCCCCCCCACCCAGCAGCCCTGAACTGTCAATTCTCCCTCCTCCTCCCCGCAGAGCGTCCCCCTCCGCCCCTGCTGCCCACAGGCTTCCCAGGCTTGAACCGCCACAGCCAGGTGCCTGACATTTTCCGAGCAAGAGAGCTTAATCCTGGGCCCCCCGGGTGGCCATGTCCATGGGCTCCAGCTCTGTCCTGAGGATGGTCTGTCCCTTCCCGCCTTGCTGGGAGCTGGGAGGGGGCCGGGTCTCAGCTGCTTCAGTGGAGGCAGAGGCCACGGAGGAGCAAGTCTGGTTCCCACTGACCCTGCGGCCAGCAGCTCGTTGCAGCAAGCATATCGGCTCCAGACCTGGCCCTAGACTGGCTTCACAGATGTGGACACTGAGGCACAGAGCCTAGAACGGATGGCCCAGCTCCTGACTAACATCAAATTGGGGTCCGTGAAATAGCCAGGGAGAAGGCACTTGCCTTGCA